TAAATTCATATTTTGCCACAAGCGAGACATATCATTTGCACACACATATACAAACATACACACACACCTGTAAACAGTTCTTAATGATATTCAAGCGAATTTTTGGCATAACTTTTTCTTCTCGCTCGTATGAATTCCGCACATACCAAGGGTGGGCTTCCATATCAACGAAGTATTCTGATCTTTCCACGTTTATACTTGAATGCATATATGTGTGTGTAGATGTTTAGGTGAAGATAAATTGATTTTTATTTTTGGATTATGAACAGATTAAAAAAAATATGCATTTTTATTGTATTCACATATATTACAATAAATACAAAAGCTGATAATATCACACACACGTTGATGTGACTGTTTTGAAACATTTAAACACACAAATTATTTGATAAATGCGTAAAAAATGCACTTGAAAGGCAAATCTCAAGTGCTTTTTCATTTTACGCATTTGTCAAAACGCCTCGTCTAAGGGGTGACTTTCGGTAGCGAGCGAAGGCGCGCGCTGTCGAGGATCGAAGAACACTTTCATCAGCAGACTGGCAAAAAAATACAACAATCTGCAATTTGTTGTTGTTGTGGCTCTTCATAAAAGCAAATTCTTTGCTGCCCACCACCAAAGCAAGGCCCTGCCACCACCGTCAACGAGAGCAAGAGCAACACCACCTCCACCAATTCGCCGCCGTCGTCGTCTCAATGTACTGAAAATCATGCTGACAGCTGCCACTTTTGAAACCAGTTGAGTCTGCCACATTTTGTTCTGTCACCGTTTGTTTGTTGTTGTTTATGTGCATCTGCGTGTGTTATAGAAATAACATAAAACAACAATAAAAACAACAAATGCAGACTTATATATAATATGTAAATTTAAATCATTTTGTCAGCAGGCGTTTGAAGAGTGTGTACATGTGTATGTGTTTGCGTGTCTATATATGTGTGTATGTGTGTTCAATTTCAATTTTGCGGCTATTTTTGCGCATGAAAGCATGCTATGTAGACTCCTTTCGGCATAAACGACTTTTTTTTTTTTTATTTTGTGGGTTAGTAATTGCTCTCTTGATTATATCTTGCAACAGGAGTAGAATATGTAAAGGGAAAAGTTTACAAGTAGAGTGATAAGGGACGAAATTTTTGCCCAAAAAAAATTGAAAGGGTTTAATACAGAGAAAAAGTAACGAAAAAGATCATTGTTAGAAACGAAAATGGAAGAAAAGCTTATAACCGCAAAGATTATACAAGTTAGAGACTCATCCAAAAGTTACTAGTTGTGAACTAGTTGTGAAAAACACTTAATTTCTTAGTGTTTTTGTAATGGATAATTATGTTTGGGAGTTATTAACACTTGGTTACAAAATAGGTTAAAACCTGAAAACCTAAATCATAATCGAGACAAGCTTTTAGCAGAAACAACTACTAAAAAGAGTTTTTTCATCACTCGACTGCTGACTATTTATGATTAAAATAAATTAAACTTGACCAAATTTTTTTAAATAAATTTTAATTAAAATAAGTTAAAAATTAAAAAATCCTTAAAAACTAAACACAAACGGAATGTATTTTAGAACTCACTCCAACACAACTAGTTAGGGTCTAGTCACACAAAAACTTTATGTTGAATAGGTAAAAACTAAAGGAAATAAATATAATTTAAGCTAAACAGACAATTTTACATATATTTCAGAATTCACTTTAAAATAACTAGTTGGGATTTAGTAAAACAACAACAATATGCTGATAGCTTTATGCTGAGAAATTTAAATTAAGTTTAATAAATACGCAGAAACTAACAAAAAATACAACTTTGTGGGAAGTCACTCCCATATAACTAGTTGTGGACTGGTCACGGAAAAACTTGCTACTTCTTACTGATTTATATAAAAGTTAAAAAATAGCTAGAAATTAAGAAAAACCAAATAAAATACATTTTAAAACTCACTCCAAAATAACCACTTATGGTCTAGGTGCTTAATAACTAGTTAAAAAGTGGTAAGCTTTTAACAACTTGAGCATTATTTAAACAACAACAATGCAATTAGTTTCTTTAAAAGTTTTATAGACTACTTAAAAAAATGATTTTAATTAAATTCTGTTAACTAACCCCTAAACTAGCGTAACTACCACCATAACCAGGCGGTAATCAGCATGTGAAGAGCAACATCATTTTCGGCATTCAACAGTCCTTTCAAACCCAAATAAAACCGGTTGTTAAATCATGCAGGCTATCAAATATTGGTAATCTGATTATTAGTTTTGCAATCATGAAGCTTCTACTTTAACTATCTTCCTTCTATCGAAGCGCTTCAAAGCAACACTGGGTCACTGCGTCTTTAGTTAAACGTTCGTCAAATGCCAGCTGTGTCGCTCCCCTGCCTCATCCGTGCCTATTGTAGAACCAACCTTTAGCTGTGGTTCATTAAGTGCTTTTATATATTTTTACGCACACACAAACAACAAAAAAAAAAAAAAAAAAAAACAAGAAAGCAGAAAGAACCGTTTAACAATGCGGAGATAATTCATGAATTTGATGAATGATGCTCACTCGTGCGCATTTCTATTCATTTTGACGTTTTTATTAAATTCGCTAAGCTATCTCAGCGTTCGGTCATCGAAATAGTGCGATGAGTTCGAAGCTCTCGATGAGGATTGGGTGGCAGGGGTGTGCATATGAGTTCGGTGCGCCCTCAGATGGCGTAAATTTGCTTTTTATATCCACTTGTTGTTGCTTTCAGTGATTTAAGTGTAATGTGTTGCGATTGTTCATTGATGTAAGATTGCTAGATCTTTTTATTTTGTTGAGCAAAAAAACAAAAAAGAAATAAGTTCAATGGTTCTATTTTAAAGTGGATTTTAGTGACTTAACCCTTTTCATGTTACCTTGTGTAAGTTTGCAGTGTTTATATAGAGAGGTGGAGGTTATTTTAGTTAAACAAAATTACTTATTATAATATCGATATCGCGCTTGATTTCTCGAAAAAAATTTTGTGGAACACAGAACGAGGAAGACTTGAGGCTGTATTAGAAAGAAATTCTGTAACATTTTCTTGAAATTCCATTCCTTAATTTTCGAACCTTAGAGTATTCATCAGCGATATTTTAACACTGAAATTATTTTGAAGTCGAACTTCTTTGGATTAATCTTCATTTTCATAATTCCTTACAGTTTTTGACCACTTCCAGCGCTCATAAAGTTTTTTTTAATTTTTTTTAATTTTTTAAAATTTTTTTTTATTGAGCCATTCAGCTCAGAACCGCAGAGCTAATTCGTCACTGATACATTCCCACTAAGTAATCACATACATTTTTTTACGATTGATATTAAATAATCATATATTTATATATAGCACATTCCTTGTTTTCACCTAAAATTTTTGTTAACCATAACTTGAGCTTCAAATTAAACATATTTTCTAAGAACGAACTTTATCCGAAATTTATTTATAAAATAATGCCATGAATCATTGAAGATTCAACAGTGATATTTGTGAACTTCTCATAATATATTTTGGAGGACGTCAGACACCGCAAAACGCTAAAAGTTTCAACAGTAAAGCTTACTCATAGTCACTAAAAATGTTCGGCATTCAATTTATAACGAAAAGTGAGACTAAGCCACACCTCGATAAGTTTACAAGTGCAACTTATTTCCACTAGTATAATAAAGGATCATAAATTTTTTCTAACTGGAACCGTAGCAGTGTCTCAAAAATTACCTTTTGATAGATGCATCGAATCTACTTAGGCTTATACAAAAAGCAAGGAGAAGTTGAAACAGTAAATTTAAGGAAGGCAGCGAAAAAAATGCATTTATTTTGTATAACRGACAGTGCAAAGCTTAGTATAATAACTATTACTCCATACATATGGTACCCAGGGTTTTGGCCTTACTCAGCTAGAAGTTATATACATTTAGTTGAGGCAAAGTTTAATCARACAGTGTCATTATTTATGCAAAGATACTGATATGTAGAAGGAAAGAAACAATCAAGCGAGCCGTAAAATCTCTTGGAATGCCGGTGAGAATGGCGACCATTATTCAAGACCTTGACATTGCGTTAGTATTAAGCTCAATTGGCTGAGGACAAAAAATTGGCGAAGCAAGGCGAGGCGACGCCAACTGTTAAAATTCAATTTCATAGAAAAATGAATTATCTTAAGAATACACGTATGTTTCGAAATGTTATATAATATGTTCTGAAGAGAGTTGCCCACTGTTGACAAAATATTTGCAATTAAATTGAAAAATGAAAATATTACTGCAATATAAAAAATTAAACACGTTTAAGAGAGTTTTTTACTGGTGCTTTTTTTGGAAGTGCTGCCACCTGTTTGTAGAAAACAGTTCCAATACTTTCAATGGTAAATAAATGTATTATTGTAATAAGAACATCAAATTAATAATTTTAAAGGAGATTTTAAACAAAAATATTTTGGAGTGCTGCCAGCTGTTAAAAAAATTTGTTCCAAAAAATTAATAATAAAAAAAAAAAAGTATAGCGATCTCAAGAGCAAATAAACTATCATCAGACTTATTTGAGATAAGTGTTGCCACATATTTGTAAAATCAATTCCAATTTAATTTTTAATTTAATGTTAAATAAAAGTATCATTTTAATGAGAACATCATAGTTAATAATCTTAACGCAGATTTTAAACAAAAATATGTTGGACAAATGTTGCCACCTGTTTGAAAAAAAGTTGAAAGCTTTATGAAATTAATACAACATTAGTGCCCGATATTCGACCTAGGCACTATGGAAAAATATATATACAGATATAAGCAAATTTACTGTCAAATTAAAGGCATTTCACTCATTATTAATTGCGCTCATATGCTTAGCTTGGTATGCTTAGCGGTCTGTGGGGTATTTGAAGTGTCTTGATTACAAATTTGAGTTCAGAAAATTTTCCATAACTTGCAGTTACTTCTGTCATTTTAGTAAATCCTGGGAGTTTGACCCCTACACCCCTTGACTACAAGGCAAAGAACTTATGCTTGGACTCACCAGACAGGGCCCTAAATTCCTCCAGGTAATCCATATTTTTTGATAACGGCGCCACTTTGGAGCCGTGTTCCTCAGGTTTCGAATAAATTTTGAATTTTCACAAACAAAAACAAGAAAATAATTTCGACGTAAGCACTTTAAATATTTTATTTATTTATTTAGCACAAAAATGCATATGTAGATATGTACGTATATATCTCCTTATGTATATGTACGTATCCCATATATATTTATATTTTAATTCACTGCCAAATACTTTGCATTTTTACTTGCGCCTTATTGTATGAGGCCGATTACACGCGCCCCGACGAGTGGGAGGGATACACTTTTGCCCAACTAGAAAATTTCCAGATAATAACGAAAATTATTGCAAAGTAAATATCACGCACAACAACAACAATGTTAAGACGCAACACGCACGGACACCCGCTAAACGCCTGTGTGTTGTGGACAATGCGACACGAACACCACCGCCACGCACGAATACGTACACGAAACTGGCGAGCAGCGGGCATTTGCTGCGTTGATTCAAAACAAAAAGCCAAGAAAATAATCAAACAGCAACAACAACAGCATGTAGGCAAAGAGAAAAAAGCAAATGAGACAAGAGAGTGCGCGTATGGGTTTTGATATTTCGGCGGCTGTGTGTGTGTGTGAGTGTTTGTAACAGTGTATCGAAGGCAAAAGGCAATGCCACGGCAACGCAGGATAACTCATTGTTGTGGCGCTACAAACACACTTAGACATATATGTATATATATAGATATATGTATGTATGTGTATATACATATATACGACGTGAGCGCATTGAGTGAAAGCGAAATTACGAGAAGTCAAATGAGCCTGTGATTGTGCGATTGCCAGGAAATTGTGTCGAGTCTAAAATATTGGTGGGCTGGGAGCCTGACTGTGCGTTTGTGTATGTGTGAGTCATGGAAATTTTCAAAATAGCAATTCAAAAGAAATCAAAATCACTCAGAGTCATACTCAATTTTGAGTATTTGAGCATTTGAGTGTTTCTAATTGCACGCTAACACCTTGACAGCTACGAAGGATATCTGATATGTGAGGAGTTGTATGTTTGTATGCATGTGTATGTGTGTGTGTGTGTGTGCCACATGGTTTGTTAGACATTTCCTGTGTTGCACGGTCGCTAATTTCAATGAATGTGCGCTCGACGTCTTCGACGTACCCCCGTACCTCCGTTACACCTACTCAATATTTGCCGCTTGGCAGCGCGCAATTAATAATCATAATTCTCATTAATTTTATGTGGCAATGTAGTGGTTTAGGGCATATTTCTAAGCGAAGTGGCATGAGTTTATGTATGTGTGCGTGTATTTAAATGTATGTGTATGTGAGTGTACATGGATGTGTCTATGTGTGTGTGTTTTTCTATGATTGCTTGTTCGTGTCGCGCCCCCTTCGGAATGTCAGGAATCTCAAGAATGTATTCAACAACAACAACAACTACTACCTAGCAAAAACAACAACAACTACAAATCAAAAACAACAAAAATAATAATAAAACCGGAAAACAACAACAGAAAAAAAAAAAACAAAAACAACAACATACTTTGCTCTCAGCTTAAACAACAACCACAACCGTTAGCCTAAGCAAATGTCGCATTTTACGCGCAAGCATGTACATATATTTCTTTTTTATTTTCATTATTATTTGTAAAAATTCCCGGCACAAAAACAACCCCAAACACCGCGACCTTTATGGAAATGTGCAGTAGCGCACTGCGTTGGCCCAAATGCATGCTGACGCTGTGTTGTTGCTAGCATTCATCAGCGTGTCGTGCCATAGGGCAGGGTTGTTCTACAATACGCTCCCATTCCCCCTCTCCCCTACTGCTGGCACACCGTTCACCAACCAGCAAGCAACTTCACCTTCGCCTCAACAATTTCTATTTCGGTTTATTAGCGTGCGGCGTGCTTCAGCTGTCGAACCACCGTCGCTCATATGAATTTCCGAAATTCCAATTGCCCCTTTACCTTGTGTAGTACGCCTAGTGTAGCCTCACACACACATACTTACATGTGCACATATGCGCCGCTGGCATTCCCGAAAAATAGAATTTCAGCTGCTCGTGTGCGCTTTCTCACTTGGAATTACTATTTTTACCAAAGTTTCCAATTAGAAATTGCAATAAAGTGCGTTCGAAATGCAGGCGCACAGTGATTACACACACACACATACATACACACATGTACATTGTATATGTAGGTTTGTGGAAATATAAATAATTATGCCTTTGGTGGTGGCTTATGGTGGTAGCCTTTGAACGGTACGCATTTGCGCTCACCGATCGTGCTGGTGTTTCACTTGGCTGACTTTGTTGTGGTGGATTTTTGGATTGGAATTTTTTAGGGGTGCAAAGGTAGACCAAATGCCTAACAACGATACATAAATGGCATGTTTCGCATTATGTGGCGCATGGGTGTAAATGTGTATATGTGTGTGTGCGCCTCCCTATAATTATGGAATGTTGGTAAGTAAATATTCGGCAAAGGCTCCGCATAATTACAAATCAAATGGAAATGTTAGCATTCGTGAGCTTCTGAAATTCTGAGAGTAAGCGATGTGAATGCTAGGAATATGCACACACACAAATACAAACATACATATATGTACATATGTGAGCTGAGATGTATCGCATGGTGCAGCGTATGAAGCTGGGTGAAGATTTTGTTTTCTATGATTTTTGAGAGTTTGATTAAAATGCATGGAATTGGACCTAAAAATTATAATTTATTATAATTTTAAAAGAGTAGATATCAGAAAAGAAAAAACACGAAAAGCATTAACTTTACTTGCATCGAAGCTAAAATATCCTTCACAATATAATTCAATATAGAGACATGATTAATTGATCAATTTGTATGGCAGGTATATGCTGTATCAGTCCGAAAATATAATATAAAATGCTCGAAAATTATAGCGGTACATTCGGCAAATACTCATGCCTAATTTCGTGAAGATAACTCGTTAAACAAAAAAGTTTTTCATACAAAGACATGATTTTGATTGATCAGTTTGTATGGCAACTATATGCTATAGCAGTCCGATCTAAAAAATATATTCGGAAATTATAGCGGTACTTTCGGTAAATACTCATACTTAATTTCGTGAAGATAACTCGTCAAATAAAAAAGTTTTTCATACAAAGACATGATTTTGATTGGTTAATTTGTATGGCAACTATATGTTATAGCAGTCCGATTTTGGTGATTCTGATAAATAAGCTATAAGAGTGTACAGCTGCTGGCGTATGCCGATGATATTGATATCATTGGCCTCAACACCCGCGCCGTTAGTTCTGCTTTCTCCAGACTGGACAAGGAAGCAACACAAATGGGCCTGGCAGTGAACGAGGGCAAGACGAAATATCTCCTGTCATCAAACAAACAGTCGTCGCACTCGCGACTTGGCACTCACGTCACTGTTGACAGTCATAACTTTGAAGTCGTAGATAATTTCGTCTATCTTGGAACCAGCGTAAACACCACCAATAATGTCAGCCTGGAAATCCAACGCAGGATAACTCTTGCCAACAGGTGCTACTTCGGACTGAGTTGGCAATTGAGAAGCAAAGTCCTCTCTCGACAAACAAAAACCAAACTCTATAAGTCACTCATAATTCCCGTCCTCCTATATGGTGCAGAGGCTTGGACGATGACAACAACAGATGAGTCGGCGTTGCGAGTTTTCGAGAGAAAAGTTCTGCGAAAGATTTATGGTCCTTTGCGCGTTGACCACGGCGAATATCGCATTCGATGGAACGATGAGCTGTACGAGATATACGACGACATTGACATAGTTCAGCGAATTAAAAGACAGCGGCTACGCTGGCTAGGTCATGTTGTCCGAATGGACAAAAACACTCCAGCTCTGAAAGTATTCGCCGCAGTACCCGCCGGGGGAAGCAGAGGAAGAGGAAGACCTCCACTCCGTTGGAAGGACAATGTGGAGAAGGACCTGGCTACGCTTGGAATATCCAATTGGCGCCACGTAGCGAAAAGAAGAAACGACTGGCGCGCTGTTGTTAACTCGGCTATAATCGCGTAAGCGGTGTCTACGCCAATTAAGAAGAAGAAGAAGATAAATAAGCGATCAATTAAAAAGAAGATGTGCTCAAAATTTCAGATCTATAACTCAGAAACTAAGGAGCTATTCCACGTATACAAAGACAGGTAGACAGGTCTAAATCAACTCATCTCGTCACGCTGATCAATTATAAAGGCCTTTTATCGGAACTCCGACGTTTCCTTCTGATTGATACAATCTACATGGCATAGTTAATACACCCTGTTCAGCGTATAAAGATTGTTTCAAAAAGTGTGCGGAATGTGACAATAATATATCAAACTTACAAATATCAAATATGAGGACCTCAGAACCCAAGACTGACTTTATATTATAAATATCGGTCAATCTGTAAATCTTATTAATGGAATGAAGTAGTTATACCCGTAAATTAAGTGAAGCTATTTTCTAGAACCTAATGTGATTTAGCGCTGAATATAAATGAAATTAGTTTAGACCCTGATCTCATATCCTTAATACTGAAAGTTAAGATTCTCTGGATGGTTTTGCTCATACCGTTTACCTCTAATATTGAATTAAGTCTTCATAAGTAATATAGTAAAATTTCAAACTACCGCACTCAGGTATAACTAACATATAGCCAGTATTTAACCATTTTGTAACTGATACCCAAGTTCTGTTTTAATATGAGGGGTTTCTTTACATCGCTTTTCCTTCGCCTGTAAACTTATGAAAAGTGATGTTACATTATTTTTCATTTTAAGTGAGAAATAAATGTCTCATTTGGCTTGATTTGAAGAAAAATATCTCAAGCACGAGGAAAAAAAAAATATAATAATAAAACCGTCCTACTTATAATATAATATAATCACGATACCAAATATGTTAGTAAACATTGCTCGAGTAGTCTGGATTCAAACTGCAAAATCATGATATTTTATACACATAAATTATACAATTAATAATCACTAACCTTCTCTAATAATCACCATGTTTCTCAGGAAATTTACAAGCATTTTGATGCCAAATATATATATTTTTTTCTCCAAACAATCTAGTTTACAAGGCATCGCA